CGCCCCCCCGGGGGGGGCGCGCCCCCTCCTCTCCCCGACCCTTACCAGCTCCACGAGAACGGCCGGTGCGATCCCGCCAGCTTTGTTGAATGCCCAGGGGAAATTGAGCAGCCCTGCTCCAAGGGCAGATTTCAGCATAATGAAGACGGCCCCCGCCGAGGAGAGGTTGGGGCTGCCCGCTGCTGCCGCCACCGCAGGCTTATCTAACAAGCGCACGCTCTCCCCTGCCACCTTCTCCATCGCTGACCAGTAAGGCAGGGGGTTCCTCCGAGGGGCGCGTGCCCCTCGCCCACAGTCCCGCGCCACAAGCCCAGCACCCTCCACCCTCCGCAGCCCCACTGGATGATGAGTGCAGCAGAGGGGGCTCGCGCTGCTCACCCGCCCCGTCTCCAGGACCTCCCCGGGGAGAGGACGGGACGGGATGGGGAGGGGAGCACTCCTCTCCGCCAATCCTCGCGCAGGAGGACGGGAGCTGCTGAGCCCGGGTGTGCTACTTGCCTGGCCACCGCTCTGCTAACTTGTGCCCAACGTTTACCAGCCGCCACAGTTAAAGCAAGGTGTGCCATGAGGGCCAGAGACGCACTAGGGTTTGGGCCAGCAAGAGAGCAGGCACCGACCGCGGGGAAGCCCCGCTGCCCTAGTCGGTGCGCTCTGTCCTGAGCTTGCAGCATGCTCCACGCTCGCTGATGCACAGCGCATGCGGCAGAGGAAAGTCCCCGTCCCAGATTCCCTGTCAGCACAACCTGGGCCTCAGCTGGACTCGCATCCGCAGGGCAATGCGGATCCCTGCGATGCTGATGATCCTGCAGGAGCCCCAGGTCTCTAGGGACAGCACAGAGCGGGTGCACCCATGTACCTCATTCACGTGTGCTCTCCCGGCTCAAGACAGGCAGGCCACATCCAGCTTTGCTGTGGGTAGCAAGGCGCAGGCTGATTTCAACACGCAGTGTAGTTCCTGCTGTCCCATGAGATTTTCATATTTCAGTCAAGCAACACCTGTAAAGCAGTGCACCTCTGATGCTTGCACCGAGTTTTCCCTAAAACACTCCAGCACGCTCTTATTGTCGCCCGATGATCAAGCTGGCACATTACTTTAACCATCTTCTTCCCTCCCCTCCCCTTGCTTCGCTGCTCTTCCTGGCTGCAGTGCGTCTGCACTGACATGGCTCGCCCTGCTGTTGCGTCCGTGGGGGTGGATGGCCCAACTTGCGTGCGAAAGGCCAGGTGAGCAAGCCGAGGCGGCTCGCCAGGGCCAGCCTTCCTGGGATCTGCGCCAGAGCCAGTTGGGCTGGACATAGGCCAGCTCTTATTGCATTCCCCGCAGGACCTGCTTTTTCAGGAGTTGCCTCTAGTATCCAGAGTATCCCCCTGCAAAACCCTGTCACCCCGGAAAATAAGGCAGTTGCCTCCACCTATCTAAAAGCAATCACCAAATCCATCTTCCTCTCGGTTCAATCCAGGGAGACTGTGCTCAATAGGAACGGCAGATCAGCTGGGGACATTTGTGCACAACATACTTTTCTGCAACATACCTGCAATCCCTGTAAACTCAGTCAAGAACTTTCCTCGCAGCGAATTTCGTTTCCACGCTTCCTACGGAGGACATGCGGGTTCTTCTACAAAAGCCACCCCAAAGGCAGTCTTCCAGTGGGCTGTGCGATAACGCCCATCTTTCTTTGGGCATTCTTTGGGCTTGACAGTACAGCTTTTCTGCCAAGGCAAACTACAGCTACCAAGAGGCGCTCTCCGTTCGGTGGATGCAATTGGGCCACATACAACCAGGGACGTGTTGCCTGGAGCCTCCTCCGTACAGAGCAGGTGGTTACACTGCAAACGGGTATTCAGTTACAAACTTCACTCGTTCCATCTCAGAGTTGCTCTTCTGTGAGGCAAATGGATTTTCTAGGCAGAAAAACTAAAGCTCCTGCTTAAATAAAAACTTGCCCTGTTAAAGCCAGCACAAGGACAGTTGACTTGTAGCAATAAGAGACTTCACTTTTGCACATCTCATAAGGCCAAAAGGCCTCGTCTTTGTATTCAGTCACATACAAATTCAACACATTTTTCCAGGAATGGGAGCCTCTAATTACCCCCCCACTCCAAACTCAGTTGGGGCTTAGGAAAACCAACAGCCCCAGCGAAGGCAATGCTCCCCGAGGAGATGGCGTAACTGGCTCGCAAGTGCTGAGATGGGAGCGCG